ATCATCACCACCCTTTACGTCATCACCACCCTTTACATCATCACCACCCTTAACATCATCACCACCCTTTACATCATCACGAACCTTTGCATCATCACCACCCTTTACGTCATCACCACCCTTTACATCATCACCACCCTTAACATCATCACCACCCTTTACATCATCACGAACCTTTGCATCATCACCACCCTTTTTACATCATTACCACCCTTTACATTATTACGACCCTTTACATCCCCGTGTTCCTTGACATTTTTACAACCCTTTACATCCCCGTGTACCATTTGATCCTTATAGACCTTAACGTTACCAGCCTTTATACCCTCGGGAGGATTTACATCTTCACATGCCCTACATTATCACGAGCCTTTACGTCATCCGACGCCGTTCCCTTTTCCCGTGTTGTTAATACCTTGTATGTGCTGACAATAGAAACTCGTACACAGGTGGCTATGTTAACCACTATACCAGCCACAGTAACGATTGATATCGTGACGATTTTATTTCACACTTAATGTTGTCCTTACAGATTTCGTACGATGAGTTTCTGGACATCTGGGGGATGAAGCAGACATCATCAGTCATGCGCATGACTTTCCAAAAGTTGGATAAAGATAACAGCGGAAGTCTCACGAAGGACGAGATGTTAGCGGGAATTAAGTCTGATGAGGAGCTCAGTATCCAGGCGGAGACCATTTCGGCACTCCTCGTGAAATGGTGTAAGGGTTCTTCTATTAGTTATGAGGAGTTTTGTCGATTCTATGAAAATGCGGTGAAAAAATGAAACAGAAATACCGAAAAACACATAGCTTTTTATTGTTTCAAGCCTAAATGTCTAATACCGGAAAACATATAGCAACTTATTACTTATTGTTTCAAATATAATGTATGTTGTCATACAAACATAATTTGTATACAAGTAGCAAAAAAATACAAATATAAATATCTACAAGAATATCCGCCTTCAGTGTAGAAAAGCCTGCGTATCAAACGGAGTTTAGTGTGCAAAAGTAGTATTTGAAATAACACGCCAGATTCATTAATACGCTAAGATTTCGGTGTAAAACTATACAGACAGACCGAGCTGTAAATACCGCGAGAGTTTAGGTAGCTTTTAATGTACACTTAATAATAAACAACCATGGGTAACATATTCATGTGTTTATCTGCCTATAATACCTGTCTACAGGAGCGAGATTCAACGTTTAAATAAAAACATTTTCTTGGCGTCTGTGAAAGACGTCTTGACTACGAATATGCATCTGTTCTTTTCGATATATAACGTGTAATTATTTCAGTGGAAAGTATTGTTAATAAAGAAGATTAATCGACAAAAGGCACACCGACGTCTCTCTCAAACACACCTTTTAAATGAGGACCTTTTCAAATATTTTATATATAATTCATATTTTTTATCTGAAATACAACACACTTCATCGATGACTGGATCATTTATCGAATACATTTCTAACGTTCTTTAGCATTTCCTTATCAACTCATTCATAAATAAAGTGTAATATTACACATTTTTAACGTTCTTTAGCATTTCCTTATCAACTCATATATAGATAAAGTGTAATATTACACATTTCCTCTATGACCAATATGTATCCTATGTAAACGGTAATACATAGATAGTTGTGCACAATTAAAACTAAATACACCAAACAAGTACTTGCGTTGTTGTTTATTTATAGTTTTATTGCAGATAACATACTTTAATATGGCCACTTACAACTGTTACTTATACCGCTATCACATTATACCTGTAATGAATGCCTACAATGCTGATTATTACAAGCAGCCATTTATTTCATAGGAGGAATGTCAACTAGGGTTTTCATCAATCACAGCGTAACATGAATCTTTCAACTCCAAAGGATCCGCTCTCCATAAACAAATCTTCTCTAAATATTTGTATGTACAAGATTACAAATACCGACGTCGTATTAAAGGGACTGTATGTACAAGATTACAAATAACGATATCGTATTAAAGGGACGGTATGTACAAGGTAACAATTAACGACGTCGTATCAAAGGGACGGTATGTCCAAGGAACAAATAACGACGTCGTATTAAAGGGACTGTATGTACAAGGTAACAAATAACGATGTCGTATTAAAGGGACGGTATGTACAAGGAAACAATTTACGACGTCGTAATAAAGGGACTGTATGTACAAGGTAACAAATAACGATGTCGTATTAAAGGGACTGTATGTACAAGGACACAAATAACGATGTCGTATTAAAGGAACTGTATGTACAAGGTAACGAATAACGATGTCGTAGTAAAGGGACTGTATGTACAAGGCAACAAATAACGATGTCGTAGTAAAGGGACTATGTACAAGGACACAAATGACGATATCGTATTAAAGGGACTGTATGTACAAGGTAACGAATAACGATGTCGTATTAAAGGGACTGTATGTACAAGGTAACAAATAACGATGTCGTATTAGAGGGACTTTTTTGTATGTACAAGGTAACGAATAACGATGTCGTATTAAAGGAACTGTATGTACAATGTAACAAATAACGATGTCGTATTAAAGGGACTGTATGGACAAGGTAACAAATAACAATGTCGTATTAAAGGGACTGTATGTACAAGGTGAC